CTCCCATGATCTTTCACTCCCCCTCTCTCTCTCCCCCTCCACACATGAGATTTACCTCCTTGTGTATTAGCTGTTCCGTCACTATATATATATATATATTTTTTTTTTTCTTTTTTTCGTTTTCTTTTTCTTCTTTTATTCAATCTATTGTTTTCCCACAAAATAAAAAAATGTGAGTAGATTTTATATTAAAATTTATTTTTATATTATAGTTAAGTGGTAGGAAAAAAATATATAAATATTAATTAAATAGATATACAATTTTAATAAATGTAATTAAATATAAACTAAAATCTATATTTATTTAAGTATAAAAAAGAACTTATTACTCGTTTCCATCAAAATATGTTTGTATATGTATATATAAATATTTGTTTCTATCAAAATATTTGCATTAAATTTTTTAATAAATTTCAATCAATATGTCATGTAAAATCAAAATGAAATCTGCAAATATATAAGTGAAAAACGAAGCTTGGCCCCCTCTAAAAAAATAATAATTATGATTTACATAACTCCTCAACGATCTTATTTTTAACTTTTAAAATGCTTCTACGAACTCTAAATATTTCAAAGAAAATTCTTAAAATACTTAGATAAGTAATTGAATGTCTTTCCTTTTAATTGAGTAAAATATTTATAATTAAAATGAAAACTTTTTTTTATTTCTTATTAATATAGGACTCTAATACACACACATTAATATAAATGACATATAGCGTATCATCTCTCGTAAACTTTCACCCCTCTCTCTCTTCCCCTCCGCACATGAGATTTATCCCCTTGTGTAGTAGCTGTTCCATCACTATATATATATATATATATATATTTCATTTTCTTCTTTTATTCAATCGATTATTTTCTCACAAAACAAAAAAATGTGAGTAAATTTTATATTAAAATTTATTTTTATATTATAGTTAAGTGGTAGGAGAAAAATATATAAATATTAATTAAAAAGATAAAATATTTTAATAAATATAATTAAATATAAATTAAAATCTATACTTATTTAATTATAAAATATATACTTATTATTCGTTTTCATCAAAATATGTTTGTATGTGTATATATAAATATTTGTTTTTATCAAAATATTTACATTAAATTTTTTAATAAATTTCAATCAATATGTCATGTAAAGTCAAAATAAAGTCTAGAAAAATGTAAGTGGAAAACGGAGCCCCCCCCCAAAAAAGAATCCCATATATTACTTGAAGAAAATTGAAAATCACAGGAGAAAAATGTAAAAATTAATTTTATTCAAACAAAAAAATTTTAATAATTTTAAATTTTTTTCACTCAAACAGTTTATATTCACCGAAACAATATTTTTTTTATTTTTAATATTTTATTTATAAGTAATACAGCAAAGATAAAAACAAATATTTAATGATTAAATTCACAAAAACTTTAATTTAAAACTCAAGAATAATTTGCTTATAAAAAATATGAAACACAATAATATAATTTTAATTTAAATAGTTTTGATAAAATTTAATAGAGTTTGTTTTTTTTAACAAATAAAGCTGTATTTATTTTAATAAAAAATTTGGAAACGGTTTGAGAGGAAGTTGGTTGAGCGACAGGATATTATTTAAAATTATAAAGACAGTACATGACAGTTGGCACTTTGGATGGTTAGATGAGAATCACACAGATTGAACGGTCAAGATATGAGAAATGGAGGGAAAAAGGAGATAAAAGAAACAGAGATATCCATGCCTAGTCCGTCTTGGCAGTGTTGAATGGGTCCCACAGAGTTTATATTATAATATTTCTGGCTCCCACGTGATGTGTACTTAGGGTTTGATTGCGACGTGAAGGGAATCCGATGCGCATGAAAACGCGTAAATAAAATAAAAATAAAAAAGAAAGGGGGAGGAAGGAGCGTATTTGATTGATTGGCTCCTGGGAGCGGCACTGCTATAATATAATTGTGGGTTGCGAGCGAGCGAGTAAATCCAGAAAAGCAGAAATCAGAGAGCGAAAGGAAAGGGCGAAAGAGGCTGAAGGAGTGGTGGGAAATGGGTGATTAGGCAAAGCAAAGCAACGAAGACGACGACGGAGGAGAAGAAGAAGCAACGCTCTCTGTCTGTGCCTTTGCCCAACCCACCCATGCCTACCATTTCTTCTGCTTCCTCTCTTTCCACTCCTCTCTCCTCACTCTAGCTCTTCTCTATCTTTCATTTCTATTTCCTTGTTCTTGTTTTTTTGTTTTGACTATCTGTGGTTCTGTCTGGCTCATATCTTGAATACTCGATCATGCAGACAAATTTGCTAGAGGAATTTTAGGCTTCTTTCAGCTTCAGAAGATTAGATCTAGAGTGTTGTTCTTTAGTTTCTCACCTGTTTTTTTTTTTGTGAATTCTGCAGATGTGTGAGGCACTATAAGTGGTATCACTGATGCAGAAATCAAAGCCAGTAGGAGGCTTCTGGGGAGCAGATTGGGTGCTTAATGCTTACTACCAGCTGATAAATTTTAAATTTCTAATGTTAAAACTCGATTCGGATGCGTTAGATCTCACTGAAGCCATCTATGATAAGAACGAAATTAGGGCTTTTTCCCATGATGATGATGATGTTCTTTATTTTCTTGTTCCGGTCTTTTTTTTTTTTTTTGTTAAGGCCAATTGTTTTGGAAATGGGATAAAGATGCATTTGATTATACTGTTGCTGCGCACGAATTGGCTTAAAATCAATCATTGTAAGAAGTATAGCTAATCTACAGCTATAAAATTAGTATTAGTTAATAGTAAATAATAGGCGAAGTTCTTCGCAAAAAAAAAATCGATGTTATATGGACCAACAAATTTTTTGTCAAAAATCACGTCTCAGCAACTCTCTCCCTTAAAAATTATTTTTAAAAATAAAAAAATAAAAATAATTTTCAGTGTTTTGGAATTATTATTTAAGAGAATTAAAAAAATAAAAAAATAAAAATTTATTTTTATTATTTTTTTATTTTCAAAATATGTTTTATAAAGCACTAATTTTGAAAATAATAAATTAAAAATAATTTCAATCAAGCTTTTAGTTTTATTCATGTTCTCAGAACCTGTTTTCAAGTAACAATTGCAAATTTTTATTTTTTGTAGATTTGTTTTTCGCTACAATAATTCAACGTTTTGTTTTCAAAACTCGTTATGAGTTAGAGTTGTACAAAACTGTTCCAACTCTAAGAACATGAAAATGTAAACCATAATCAGACTAGGCTCAAATAGACAGGAGATGGTGATTGATCCTTTACACACGCAACATGGATGATCTTGTTTTTCGTACGACATGGATCATCAAACTTGTTTTTTTCTTTGAAAGCAGATTTAGGACTTCGTTTATTTTGTTTTTTGTTTTCACATTCTTAAAACTATTATGCAAATTAATTTTCTAATCAAAAAATGAAAAAAAGTACTTTTTGAATCATTATTTGAATAGTATATTTAAAATATTTATTTTATTATCGTAATTGTCACTATACCCCATGTAAATAAATTACAGGCAGAATATGCATAAAATAATGTACTATGATATAATTTGCCCATCAATATTAAAAAAAGTACAAAAATTCTCAATCCGCAACTACATTATCAAACATTGACTGTGAATATTAGAAACACCTTATTTGACTTGAAGTGTTTACACGAAAATATTTGTATTCAAATTTGTTCTAATTTTCTTTTTTGGCCGACAAATTTGTTCTCATTGACAAAAATAAATCTTTGGAACAATGCTTTTTTTTTTTTGTCACACAACCACCATTCGATTCAAAACTCGCCTAAAAGCTACACTGACTCTTGGCTCTCTCTTCTCTTTGCTACTCTAAGTTAATTCGAATTGTGTTTTTATATCTGTGCTGGTTAGGATAAATTTGAGCACATGTATTTTCTCATTTACACTTTGGGTCAAATAAATTTGAAGAGCTTTTTGCACCGTTTTTTAAGTTTTATGAGTAAAATTGGATCATAACATAATACATATGGTAATTTAGTTCATGAAGTTAGGAATCATGATTCATGTAATTTTTAAATGGTGTGATGATTTCTACCTTTTTAATATATATTAACAAGTTTTATCATATTTAACATGAGGGAAGGATGATTTAACTCATTTTTATCTTAATTTTTTTAATTTATTCAATTTCATTTTATTTTAGTAAACAAATGTGATCATAAATATTTTTCCCCTTAATCTATTTATACATGGTATAGCGAATAGGATTTACAATCTTTATTTAACAGACATGTTGCCTCCATTACGATTTGAAGAATTTTGTACTGTTTTTTTAGAGTTCACGAGTAAAATTGAATCATACTCCAGTTAATTATGCCAATAGCTCATTGCATAATTCTTTACAGGTAGATTCACACTTAACCTACAATAGGCATTAGACATATTTTTTTTAAAACAATTATGTATAAAGATTAAATATAAATCTCACGTACCCTTACAATTTATTTCTTGGTATTACTTTACTTCTTCTCATTAAGCTCAAAAATGCATAATTATGAAAAAAAAAAATCTAATTCTTTGTCAGTGTCGGACCCCATCAATCTGCTCTGCTGGGAAAGATCAGATCAGAGACCACCCATTTACTTTTTCATTGGCTAAATGTCAATTTATTAGAGTGCTTGAAGAAAGTTGTCCTGGACAAAATCTAGCAAGATCGTCACGAAAATTTTGAATTTTATCAGAAAAATAATTATCGAGAAAAGTGAAGAGTGTGAAGAAGGACTTAGCATGTTCATGAAATTTCCAGGACAATAGGTAAAGGGACTGGAAAATAGTCACACCAATAAATGTCTGCAGCTCAGCCCAGCCCGGCCACTTCATCAATACTACTCGATCTTATTTACATGTTTTACAAAAAAAAAAAAAGTAATTCTAACTATAAGATATTGAACAAAAAAGATGAAACAATCTTTCAGTATTATCTTTAACTTGAGAAAATATTTGTGCACATGACAAGATAATTCATTGTCTTTCTTCAATTAACAAGAGTATGATTGAAAAGTTGAGATGTTTCATAACCAAATAGAACAACATAACTATTCTTTAAGTACATAAAAAATGTCTCAAACGTCTTCAGAAAGCAGTAGTTATTACAGTCACAAGACATGGTGAAACAACCTCTATTTCCCAGAAAAACAAAAAGAAAGGAAAGTAAGGACTGGCTCAATTTCTTCCAGCACTTTTCCCTGTTTGCAAATTGCAGTTTACAGTTTACTCATGAACTCACAAAAGGCACAAGCACCTATAGCTACACAGATTAAACGATGACTAGGATGAGCTACATACATGTCCCTCGACTCACGGAATAATACGGGAATCGAATTTAAAGTTGAGAGAACAAAAAAGATTATAAGGGAAAAAAAATACTCATTTCAAAAGTTATTGTGATTACTGGTAATAGATGTAGCATGTCAACCAGTTGAGCCCAGACGTATCCACACACGATGAACGAGAAGTCAGGTCTTCGAGAAAATACTCCTTTCTGGAACTGGACGAAAGGCATGCAATTACTTTGATGCACAGAACAAGAAAGCCAGGTGCAATGAAGCCATTGATGTTGAACTTTCACATTTTGGGGATGAAAGGTTTAACCGATTCTACAACAACCTGTTTTGAGAGAATATCAAACCAATGATGTTGTTAGTGCAATCATGCAAAACGTATCCTTCTCTAGACTTTCAAAGATGCTCGAATGTAGCATGTTGCACCCAAACCCACTTCACGAGGCAATTTTATTTTGTGGTTTTAAAGTCCCTGATTCAGACCAGTATGAACTACATTGATTTTAATCATAGCAGCCATTGGACCAAGACCATCCACGTAAAGAAGTAAAGGGGAAAAAAAAATCAATCTAGGGCATGCAGACGTTCCAAAGAATTATATCTCTTATTTAGCATTTTGCCATCAAACAGAAGTTCCCTCTTCATAGTCAAAATTTGCCATCAGTTTGCTTGCGATCTTACCCTTCCATCATATGATAATGATGCAAAGATCCAAGGTTCACGAGAACTCCATGCAAGGCCTGTAACACGAAGCAGAAAGTGTCAAGTGGAAGTCACTAAAAATCTAGTATCATATAAATTTAAGCACTTACCATAAATGCTGTCTTCATAATCGCTATATGTATTCAGTAATGGGTCAACCCAATGGGTTGGTGAATCTGCGTGCCTGCTGACAAATGATCATAGATGAATTGAGAAAAAGAATAAGCAGTGGTCAAAGAAAATGTTAGAATATCCTAGACGAGAAAATGACCTTTCAGATGTTAACACATCATTGCTTGATGAAGCCAACCACAGGTTCACAGTTGAGTCAGTGCCAGAACTCTGCAATTAGGACATTTCACAACAAAAGCATCAATTACGACAATATCCCAGAAGCGAGAAATAATCCAGTTCAGTGGTTACTAAGTCTAAAACCTTTTTTTATTAAAATACGGAAAATATATCATAGATATAATACTTTTTCTAAAAGAATGAGTAAGCTCCAACAAAGTTCTCAAAATAATGAATACGAATATATCTAACAATACTAATTTCAGGATTACTATACTAGTCGCACGTGATACTGTCTAACATTATAGAAACTGTCAACTTACATTCATTAAAATGTTAGCTATTTCTTGTACAAAAATATTTCATTTAAATAATGACAATGAATTTAAGATTATTTTATTATGTTAAATAAAATACGTAATCAATACTATATAACTAATAAAATTTTATAATACTATTTGGTCTAATGCATGTTGCCTTGATTTTGGAACCTCAATTGCTACCGTGTCCTACAAATTGGGAAATGGCTCTGCACTCATGCGCCAGTGTGTGGGCTGAGTTACAAATAGATAAATAGATAGAGAGGGAGGGAGGGCAACCAATATCAGTCTTTCATACTCAGGGTTACACTTGACAGTCCACGTCCTGGAAATACAAGCAACACAGTGGGGCAATTAGAGGTCATAAAAAAAAAAATGAACAAATAGTTTTATATTCATAAAGGCATATCAAGAATCTAGGCCCATTTATTTTATTTTTTTATATGAAAAAAATAACTTTTGTGAAGTTTAATGTTTGTCTAAGCTTTTGAGAATAATCAAAACATGAAAAAAAAAAAAGTTTTTGATTATTAGGAAAAGCTATTTCAAAAAGCTTTAGAAAACAGACGGATATGACAGATAAGAGAAAATATCATAAAATGTGAAGATACATAGAGATATCATAAAATGTGAAAATAATAAATTCTTTTTATAAACAAAGATACATGAAAATATCATAAGATCTGAAAATAACTAAATACTAATCACTTTTTTATTATTGTCACCAAATGCAAATAATTTCTGCTTTTTATAATATTTATACACAACAAATCACTAAAATCTCTTAACTATCTAAAAATCACTAACTTTTTAAGCTTAAACAAATGGGCCATCTAACTTATTTTTTCATTAAAAGCATAAGAACTATATCATGTCTTAGTATTGAATATACTGCAGCTGTTTCTCTCTCTTGTTTTCTCTTTTATTTCAGCGGAGTTGCTAAAACATTAGTATGGTCAATGAAATGGAAATGTAGCTGAAGTTACCAATGTGTATGTCCTGGAAGTTCTTGGGTGGGAACTTTGGGCTTTCTTAGATCCCAAACGTGTATCCCAGATTCGTGTTCTGCAGTAACCTAACAGGGCAAATTTTGATTTTTATCAATATCAACAAATACTGACATTTCATATATATATATATATATATAAATTATGGGTGAATTTCAGAAAATTTATATACAGTATCACAAAGATAAAGTACTATTCTTAAGAGAATGGATGCACACATATAACATAATAAGGAGGCCCACAAAATTCATCTCTTACAAGTATGTGCTCCTTCTTGTAGTTGTAATCAACGTTTCGAACATGGGCACACTCAACTGAAATCGTCTTTCTGAAAATGAAAGAACATTGTTATCAGACACAAGTCACAGAACACTTTCCAAGGACATCCTCCAACCATATTGACTTATAAGTGTTTTACAAAATAGGATGAAAAATAGACAACTATTGCTTATATTTTGACTTTTAAAGTTTGATAACTATTTTGCAAGCCTGAAAGTGTTTGACTACATACTTCAAACAATAATATATCAACTCTTTTTCTCTGAAACTGACAAACACAACAAAATCCTATTTGTACTCCACTCAACTGATGGCAGATTTTCATATCAGAATAAATTATAAGACAATAGATGAGTGCTTGACAATTTTATGGAGCTTACATACTTCATTGTTCGAATATCCCAAAGTTGGACAGATGATTCACAAGTAGCTGCAACGGAATTCACATCATGTGGATCCCATGCCCCTCCAGATAAGTTGTGCAGCATGCCAACTGAATCTTGTGATTGGACCTAGAATTTTTTTTTTTTTTTTCAGGGTAAAAAGTGCATGAGTGGATTAGTCAGAATCAACAGAAAGTCCATGGCAGTCATAATTTACAAACAGGAAATGAGGTGTGGCAATAAAGCATGGAAGCCCCCACAAGCATCTTTGGTAATAAAACATACAATGTATCTAACACCAAACCCCATAAAAATTTGTCATTCTATCTGATTTTCATTCTTTTTCTTTTTCTTTTTTTGCCAAAGAATCTGACTTTTATTCAACTTGCCATAAGTATTTATTCAATATGGACGCTGAAATCTTCACCCTAATAATTTACCTTTATAAATGAACAAAATAAGACCCATTATTTAATTTAAGCACCAAACATATTAAAGGAAAATTATCCACCTCTTCGTTTTCCATAACATCACTTGTTTGAATTGAACTTTCATAATACAATAGGCTTTTTACTGCAGACATGCATACAAACCAATGTCTAAAAACCACATTAGTCATTGAACCAATCAAGGCATTATTTCATAGTTCACTTGTTGAACTAAGGCCGAACCATGATCAAACTTGGTAATAATAAAATTTAATATTCTTATTTTATAAATTGAAATAATATATAGAAAACTAAAGAAACTATTGCTAATAGATTTCATAACAAGATATTCAACTCCAAATAAGTTAATATTCATCTACAATTACATATTGAACTCAAAATAGTCAACTAATAATCAATCATCATAGCATTTAATAAGTAATTTCTAATTATAATAATTATGTAGAAGAATAAAAATCATATAATATTAGATTAGAATATAGGGAAACAAGTTATCACAAAAGTGGAGTTATTTTGAACTAAAAACTAAAAAAATTCAAAAAAAAAAAATTGAATTGGTTGAACCAATAACCTGGCCATTTTCCCAGATTGACCAGTTCTCTTCCCGACCAGTTCTATAGAATTCTTATTGGTTTTGGCACTGGTTCATCACCTTTTGACATGTCTATCTAGATTTTCATAATAATGATACAATCAATATGAATTCTTCCTCCTCCCAAAAAGTGCTCAGTTTCACCAAAGAAAAGGACGGTAACTTAGCCAGTGATAACAATCTCAATATCTACTTAAGAATATTCGTATACATGTTCATTCATGCAAGCCTGTATCATCATTCAAGGATTGCATAAACTTCACCATGAACTTCATACCTGCGCAATTTTCTTGGAAACATCTAAGCTCCACAAGTACAGATTTTCCTCATCAATGCTGATCAACTTATCATGCCTCCCAGATGGCCACCAAAGAATACTGTTAGGTGAGGAACATATAGTAGGGAGTCAATAAAAAAAAAAATATATATATATATATATATAGGTTCAAACTTGATCTGAGAAATAAGCATATGGTAGACAGTAAGGTTATTAGATCACACAGCATTCAGCAGACCTTTCATTACATCAACAAAAACGTAGTCAAAAAACCAGGAGAAATTACTCGTTTTCATCTTGTTCCTGCATCTAGAATTCTACTTTTTCACTTAGTTATTCAAGACTTTGGCAGTGACTCAACATATAAATCAAATGCAAAAGATAAAAATGACGTATTTTCCCATAGCACAGACAAATTGTAAGTAGGAATTACAACTCACCATTTAACCTTACCAGCATGAGTATCTAGGGAGCTAATTTTCTCTAACTGGGGGGAATTTAACTCCCCATATAACTCCGGGATCTGCCATATTGCTGCTCCAAATGATTCACCTTCATGAACATGAAGATCATCAAAAGTCTTTCTAATCTGGCATTGATAGCTCGCACCATAATGATTGCATTACATTCATCTGGTACTCACTCCCATGAGATGATCATGATACAGAAGTAATCTTAGGGTCAATCAGAGTCTCTATGTTTTTTTTTTTTAAAATTCTTTGGCCTTTTTTTCACTGTAATTACAGCTCTAACAACTGAATGGCTCCTAATGCTCTACTAACATAATAAAATGCTTTCAATGCGCCGATTTGCAAGTCCTCCTCACCTCATATATGCTAAAATGTTAACTAAATTACAATGTAATTCAAAACTTATTCAGGTCTAGTTGGGGACATAAAAAAAGATAGGTAGCTGGAGAAAATGAGAGAGTATTATAGAAGAGAGAATATGAGAGAAATGTAGTAAGTACTGATCTATGTGAGCATCTTCTTTATAGTAAGGATACAAGACAGCACATTGATGAGCAATGTCTGCAAAATAATCTAATTATTTACAATCAAATCATATCAACAATAACTAAAATAGGTCAATACCAGTGGAGTAGACAGTTGAAAAGATCCGCTGATCAAAAGGACAGGATGAAAGGTCCCAGATCTCGCTGGGGTGCGAAAACAAGCCTTCGCAGAATAATTCATGTCCACTTGGCGAAAGCCGAATCAGATGGACCTGCAAAACAATAATTCACTATCTTTGATGTGCATGAGAATGCATGTTAAACCTAAAGTACGAACCTCATTTTCTTCTTTAAGGCTAAGAGTTCCTGCAAGGAAACTAGTGTGATCTGTGTCTGCCTTCACATTTGATATGCATCTAGCCTGCACATTCAGAAAGGTAAGGCCAGAATGAGGATTGGAAGTATAAAGATTAAACTGATTTGGAAGAAGAAATAGGTTATGATTCTGGGAACGTTACCTGATATTTCAGACCATATCCAATGCCAGACAATGCTCCTTGCATTGCTGCTTCGTTGGAGGTTGAATCTACTAGCTACTCTCCAAGTGAAACTTCACTCAAGCTCAATGGAAAGCGCAGACTTTAAGCTTTCTCTCTATTTTAGGGTTCAAATTCTGCAGAGAAGATGATTAATCAATTTTAAGCTTCACTGGAGATTCAACCTACTATCTGATCTTTGAATTGGTTTGGTTTTATCACCCATAACAACTGAACCGATCTAGTTGATTGACTAGAAAATTAAATCTAAATTCTAATGAATTCATATACATTGACTCATTGATCATAGCCAAACCAATTCAATCAGATTAGAATCCTTAATTTATCCAACTATACCTACAAACATAGGCGGACCTATACTAACGCCCCCACTGAAATCTTTGAAATATGCATGGTTGATATAATACCCTTTTAATTTTTGTTCCAGATACTTTTACACAACTTGAGCCAAGTCATTTACGAGATCATACATCACAAATGCCCTGAGAATTTTCCAAAATTGATGATAATATAAAAAGATTAATAAACAGAATGCCAATGCACAACAAATCCAACACTGCAAAACCACACAATCCAAACCATACAAATTGCTAGCAGTCAAAATGAAGAGGGAAGAAGTATAATATCCAATTATACACCATTCACGCAAAAATCAGCACACAAAAAAAGAAATCAACATGTAAATAATCCCAAATTCAAAAGCGTCAATATTCAAACGATTACACGACCAGATTCAAAGCCAAATTAAAATGAAAAATTTAAAACAAAGCAAGAACAGCCACGCAGTGAACAGAGGACGCGGGGAACAAATTCAAATCTAGGTTCAACGCCAGATTTAACAAATCAATCTCACCGGATTTTGGGAGTAATAAAGGCCCTAGAATTCGAACCTTCTCCACTGCTTGCCCGAGAACAACCACGCAGGGCTGACACCGGTGTACGGCGTCCGACAGAGTGTGGAATGCTTGTTCGTCGACGAAGGGAAATGGATCCGCCCCGCATCAGAACGTTTTATTTTATCATGGGGGTCATAATTAATTTTAGGAAGAATTTGGTGTTAGGTCGAAAATTAATTATTCAAACAGTAAAATTAATTAATCCAAATATAAAATTTATTTTATTGATTTATGTTTCTGAATTTATAATATAATTATTTTTTTATTTTTTATTAAGAAAATTCTTTCATATCTAATAAGCTTTGTACCGGGATTTTATTTAATAACTTTGGATACATCAAATGTATTTTTAAAATTTTTCATTTTTTTTTATTTCTCATACCCTTCTCTTCAAAAACAATTTCCAATTAATTAAAGGAGAGCCTTAGCTTTTAGAGTAATTATCATTAATAAAATAAAATTAACATTCACCTCAACTTTCACTTAATAGTGATAAATTCTTTTTCAGATTTTCAATTCATACATTCATTTTGGACAAATATTATTCCTGTTTCAGAAGATATGACTCTTGAAGATGATAATATTTTGGATGAAAATCTAAATAATGACACTGAGCAGCTTCAATGAGTTCATTGGGTTAGAATCAGATACACAAAGGAAAATCCAATTGTGCCACAGAATAGACATTCAATGGAGACTTTCTTTTAATGGAATCGGAAGAGTTTTTAATGGAATTGGAATCGGAATCGGAATTGGAATTGGAATTAGAATAGAATTGGATTTAAAAGTGTGTTTGGTATAATGATGGAATCCTAATATAATTTTAATAAAATATAAGTATTTAAAATAAGAAAAGACTAAAGTGTCCTTTTTAAAATTAAAAAAAATTACATTGGAGGAAAGAGAAGGGGCAAATTGGAGAAAAGGAACCATGGAATTGGATTCCATGATGCATATGATGGAATTGAATTCCATCAAATTTCCTTAAATCCTGATTCCAAAGAATCATAATTATTGCATACCAAACACACATGTTAACAGATTCCATGTCCAATTCCATTTCTTTCTCCATGATTCCAAACTACCAAACGGGGCCTTATTGGTTTGGCATATTCATTTATAGGCGACTTTCTTGAACCTTGTAGTGTTGAAGATGCTTTGAAATTGAGTTAGTGAATAAAATTCATGATAAATGAGTTCAATGCTCTTGTTAAGTGCCCATTTAGATTTCAGTATGATATAATAAATTATAAAAATAATTGATTAAGTGGTAGATTTTAATCATAATTGATTGTGTTATAACGCAATCTGTTTAAATATTATTTTTTTTAAATTGATTTTAATAGAATTAAAAATATTTGGATAATTTATTTACAATCAATTTTAATTGTATAAATTATCATAAAAAATATTAATTTTTTAAAATTAAATTATTAATAAATTTGTATTTAATATTATTAAATTTGTTTTTGAAATGAATTTTATTTTTATTAAATTTTGTGCTTTTTTTATAATTTTTTTGGGTTTTTATTTGTAATTTGCCCAATGCCTTTGATCAGCTTTTCCCCAGACACTCGGGCTTTCGGAAAAAATTGATTTTAACACTAATAATTGATTAATGACAAAAGGTAGCGTTTGAATATTTTTTTAGTTAATGGATTTTTTTAGCAAAAAAATTGATTATTTGCCCAACCAAACAGGCACTAGACATCAGACTTAGCTTAGGTATTAGCTTCTCATACTAGACAAAAAGTACTTGCAGACTATAAATGGGTATTTAAAGCAAAGTATAATTGTGATGGATCTTTTCTAAAGCCTAAAACTAGACTTTCGGCTGAAGATTTTCAACAACATCCTGGAATACTATGATGGAACATCTGGTCCGATATTGGAACATTTTACTTTCAGATTTACACTCACCCTTGCAGTTTGTTTTGGACGGCATTTTAGACAAATTGATGTCAATAATACCTTCTTAAATGACTATCTATAAGAAAAGGTGTTCATAAAGCAATTAAAAGGTTTTATTTATAAAAGATTTCCAAATCATATTTACTTGCTACGTCTGATTCTATTTATAAGATAAGAAAAGAAAGAATTTTTTAATTCTATTTATAAGTCACGTCATTAAATTTTTATTATAAAATTCTTTTTTTATCATTCATTAATGTTAAAGAGAAAAAATATGTAATTAAAGTATGTATATTTAATAGGAGTAAAGTTGAAAACTTATTAAATTTTAAGAGAGTTAATGAGTTTTAAGGTTTTTCTTGATCCTAATGAAACAAGTTGAAAGTAATTTATAAATAGGATCAGAGGAGTATTTAATAAAACTATATATGGTATGCTTTTTAAGAAAAGGGAAAAGGAAGAAGCTATATATGATTTGAGACAAGCTCCTTAGGCTAGGTTTGATAGATTGAAAATTACTTTATTGGACTAGAAATTTAGAAACTCACAATGTGACCGTAAGAGGTCTTCACTGGACAAGATCATATCTCATGTCCCTTTTTTGAAAAAGTTCAGGATTAAATTTTTATCCCTTATCTTATTTTGTTACAAAAATCATCCAGTCTTATTAAAAATCAAAATGAGATCAGGACATCTCGTTGTCCCAATAAATTAAATAATGTGAGATAAAAGTTTGGATAATAACATTAATTAAAATTTTAAATAACATAATTTATTAAGTTTAAAATCAAAACAATAGGAGTATATAAATCAAAACAATTTACAGTCAATTATTGAATTACATCAATCACAACTACAAATCTATAACACATTATGATAACAATTACAACTAATTTTTAGGTTGTAAGAGCAACAACAATAAATAAGACAGACTCAATATCAACTCATTGTTCTTCTTCTTTAGTTAAGATATGTTAAGTTAATTATTCTTTCAAAAATAAAACAAGAAATATGATATAAATAAAAGTTATTAAATAGATAAATATAAAAATAAAATATATTAATATAATTAATATATTATAAAAAAAGATATTACCATGTACCACTTACTCTGTATTAAAATTGTCAATATAAAAAAATTTTAGTTTTATATAAGAATTGCATGAATTGAAATTGTAATTGATATAATTAATATAAGTATAAATTATATTAGTATATTTAATGTATATTGTAAAATAAAAAATATATATATATATATATATATATATAATATAATATTCAGGATGGGACAGGACAGAACAGGACGTCTCGAAAGCAATCCCATGTCTCGTCCCATCTCGCAAAGTTACATTCCAATTATTTTCTGAGCTGAGACAAAATTCATTTTACTATAACCAAGATAAAACATGATCAATTAGAATAGATACAAGTTGAACATTCTTTATGATAATTTCTTATTCTTTTTCAAAGAAAAGACAAGGCAAATGTCTGGAGTCATATAATCATCACATAAACAACTCTACTGTGCTCATTTCATTTATCAGAAAACTCAATTCTTTATTTCCACGAAAACATCTCAGCCACTTAGACGATTTCCTTAGAATTGAAGCTTACAGAGATGCATCAAGTCTTTATCTTAAGCAAGAAAATAATTATATTCTTGAATTGCTCGAAAATGTTTGGCATGGCCACGTGTTCTCCATTCCCAACACCTCTCGTGATCAACGAAACATTATCAACTCATGGTAGTACTCCTCTAAAAAATCCAATAATGCACAAAAGGGTCAATCGTAGGAGCACTTCAATATCTAGTTAATACCAAACCAGATATTATGTTTGTAGTGAACAAGCTCAGTCAACTTCTTCAATCATCAACAAATCAACATTGGCAAGTAATCAAATGTGTTCTGTGATATCTAAAGGGAACGACAGACTTAACATTTCATTTGAAACCAAGTGATCATTTGTGTGAGAAATTTGTAAATAGAGTCGACTATTATATGTAAGAGAACGTAAGATTTTGGTAACGGCTCTTGTCACTACAGGGACTATCAAGTGAAGAAAAAAAAAAGGACACTTGTAATGAGCCCACGCGTTTCCCACGCATGAAGGATATGAAGAAAATACTTGAAATTAATGAAGATTTCAGCATTGAGAAAAATAGTCACATTGGATCAAAGTGTTTTGTTATACCAAACATGAAACGTATGCTTCCATTAAGAGGACTGTGTTGGAAGTGTTGATTGAGAAGCATGTTGGAGATAGAATTGTGAATGACTCTCTTGATCCTTTCGCAAAGAAAATTATGAAATTCCCATAAATCATAAATAATTATAAAATTGAATGTCATGAGTCTCACATCAAGAAGCATTACAAGTAGTGTGGGGTTTATAAATGTGAGCGATTCTCCTATCCAACAGACTAATTTTTTAGAATTGACTCTCTCTTTAAACTTGTACTCGTTATATTGATGTTTTCATTGAAAAGCCGGTGTTACAAAAAAGGCTTCCCATAAAGAGTTCTAACCAGCAAGAGGTTGAGTGAAATGCTGCAAAGTGAAACCATTGGAGACACCAGATCTTGATCGAGTCGCATTACTTTAAACGATGAATTTTCTATTTTTTAAATATTCAAACACTAATTGAATCCCAACATTTTTAACCAAAATTGCCATCAAACATAGAATCAAAATTGCTTGAGCTTATTCTTCTGCTGTATCGGGGGGCAAGTGGTCTTTTTTTGCATAATGATAGCAATTTTGTTATATATATATATATATAGTTGTGTTCAAGTACGCATGACATTAATATAATTGCTCTATGGATAGTTGATCCCCATTAGGATGATTTGAGTTTATTAGGGTGAAATTGAAAGAAAAAAAAACAAATGGGGTTAATAAAATAATTAAGGATGTTATGCAAATTCCAAAATCCAAATAGGAATTCCAGCACAAGTGACTCATTGTTATGGCTCCTCCAAATTGCATGCGTGTCTTTTTTCTTTTTTCTTGAAAATTTTTACATCTACTATTTGAACTAAAATTGAAACGTCATTTACCATGATTATAGCAAAAAATAGACTAAATAATTGAAGAGTCAAATCCAACAAGCAATCCAACAATAGGGCTGATTCAAATCATGATGAAATAACCTGACTAAATCAATTTAAGTCTATAAATCCTTTAAGATTCAAAATCCTTA